CAGCACCTTCCTGGGTGGCGTCTGTCCCCCAACCCCCATTCCCTCTGTCCCCTCCACCTTCCCCACCCAAACCCCAGCCCCAAAACCCAAACCCCAGCCCCAAATTCCTGCTCTGACAGACGCCAGCCGGAATGCCCTGACCGACCCCTACGTCCTGCTGGTGATCCTGCTGGCCCTGGTGGTCGACACCCTGCCCTCACTCACCGCCCACGCCGTCAGCGCCATCCTGGGCAGAGCCACCACCCCGCAGGTGAGGGTTTTGGGGGCTGCCATGGGGGGCCCTGCCTCCCACCGCTGTCTGGGACTGCTGATGGGGAGGGACGTGTCACCTCTCCTTGGTGGCCCCGCTCATGGTGGCCCTTMGTGACAGTGGCATCCAACTCTGGCTCCAGGGGTCTCTCCCAAAMTTGTTCCATGGGCCAGCAGGAGGCCAAGAGACCTGACCCAGCTTTTGGAGAGGGATTGCTTTGGGCTGTAGTGRGGAATTGTCCTCCAGGATCCCCCCTGTGCAGGTCCTGGTGCCACCCAAGCCTTGGTGGGGCTCACCCCATCTGGGCTGGGGGTTTTACCTTCCAGAGGGGTTGAGGTTGTGCCCCAGAGCTCCGTGAGCTTTGCAGACCCCCGGGACAGTGCCCACATTCCTCATCCCACCCTGGAAAACGAGGCCATGGCACAGCTGGGAGCCAAACCCTGTCCCTGTGTCCCTGTGTGTCCTCGGGGTGAGGGCTTGCGGGGGAGCTGTCCCCAGCTGGGTGGGAGCAGAGGCTGAGATGTCCCCCAGAGCTCCACGAGCCCGGCAGAGCCCTGGGGCAATGCCCACATCCCTCACCCTGTGCAAAACCAGCTCATCGGAGCTGGGAGCCAAACCCGTCCCGGTGGAGCTCCCCCTACGCTTCCCTCGTGTCCCCCCTCCTGGGCGCTGTCCCCAGCCCTGACCTCGCCGTGTCCTTGCAGAGGATCCACATGAAGGCCAGGAGGGACCCGGAGCCGCCGGTGGAGCTGCGCTCGCACATCCCCCGCGGGTCCTTCCGCCGCCGCTCCAGCTACGCCTTCTCCCACCAGGAGGGATACGCGGGGCTCATCACCCGCGGGGACAGCCTGCGCTCCAGGGACATCCGAGGGGACAGCTTGAGCTCCAGGGACATCCCCGAGGACAGCCTGCGCTCCAGGGCCATTCCTGGGAACGGCTCCAGAGCCACCCTCGGGGACAGCCTGAGCTCCAGAGCCACCCCCGGGGACAGTCTGAGCTCCAGAGCCACCCCCGGGGACAGTCTGAGCTTCAGGGCCACCCTCGGCGACAGTCTGAGCTCCAGGGCCACCTCCAGCACCGCCCCGGGCTCTGCGCACCCCGAGGGGACCCCGGCCGTGCCCTCCCAGCGCTGCCCCTCGCTGTAGCTGTCCCTGCAGGCAGACGCCTGGCTGCTCCCCTCCTTTCGGGGTCCYCTTTCCTTTTATTCGCTGTTTTTGCAGCCCCCGCGGCTGCAGAGGGGCTGGGCCGGGGGTGATGCTGYTGGGCYGTGTCCCGSAGTGGCTCCGTGTCCCCCRMACYGCGCACGGGGCAGMCCCCAAAGCTGTGACAGCCCCGGACCGCTGTACCCGGCTTGTCCTTTGCTCCCCTGGCTGCCATCCCATCCCATCCCATCCCATCCCATCCCATCCCATCCCATCCCATCCCATCCCATCCCATCCCATCCCATCCCATCCCACTCTGAGCTCTCCGGGCCGGGCTCCCTCCCGTCTGAGGCTGATCCCACAGACAGCGCTGCTGCCGACCCAGACTCATTATCGCACCCCTGAATTAATTACAGCCCTGATGGAGAGCAGCAGAGGGGCTGGGTGGGGGCGCAGCTCCTCACCCCAATCACCCCCATCCTCAGGAGCACGAAGAACCCCCTTTTGTGYCCCCCACCAAGGGCTGGTTTCGATCCTGTGCCTTTATGTCACAGAATCCCAAAATCCCAGCGGGGTTTGGGTGGGAAGGGACCCTAAAGCTCACCCGTTCCCATGGGCAGGGTCACTCCACCAGCCCAGTGTCACTTTAAAATGCCCCCTAATTTCTGAGGGGAGCGTTTGAATCGCGTTTAGGTGTGATTGATTGATTGATTGATTGATTGATTGATTGATTGATCGATCGATTGATCACCTGCAGGTTTTTCTTCTCCAGCCAGACCAGGCTGGCTCCTGCAGCCCCTCCGTGTCCCTCCCCACTGTCCCCACCTCGTGCCTTTGCTGTCCCTGCACAAGGGGTAGGTGTCCTCTCTGTGCCTTTGCCCGTCCCCATCTTTGGGGACAGTTTATGGCCACAGGCTCTGCAAAACCCCAAAAATCTCCTGGGGTGGGGCTGTGGGTCAGCTCTGCCCGGTGGGCACAGGGGACACATCCCACAGGGCACCASCAGGAGCTGCTGGAGAAATTGTGTGAACCACTGACTGGTGACTGGGTCACCCTTTTTACTGGTTTTGGGTTTTTAATTAAAAGGACTTTTTRGCTTTTCTCTGCTCTCCTGTAAATCTCTGCCGCGCCACAAAGGGTGAAAGTGGCACCATGCCCCTCGATCTGTGCCAGCAGTGCTCATGCCATGGTGAAAGGCAGAGCAGAACAAGAAATTTGGGTGAAAAAATGCACCATTAAATCATGTGTGGGGGTTTGGCCCTGCCTGCAGCGCACGTGACTCGATGGGTTTGTTTTACAAGTGCTTTGTGAGAATTAAAGTGTTTTCCTTGGGCTCTGGCCAGGAGGGCCTGGATGGTGCCAAGAAATAAAAGCTTTTCCTCTGGGAAAGCTCTCCCTGCCATGTGGAAAATGAGGACAAACCTTTCCTGGCTCCCCAGGCACGATCCCAAATCTTCCAGGCCGGGTTTGGGATTGGGGTGAGGTGGTTAAAAGGGGAATCCAGAGGGGACAGACCCCCCCCCCATCACCACAGGACACCACACACGCCGGGGTGAATGACTAGAAAATAATTTATTGAAGAAACAGAAAGCTGCAGAAATACAACACAGTCATGACCAGTAGAGGATGAACAAATAGAGATTATTTTTTTTTTCTCTCTCTCTCTTTTAAAACCTGTTGACAGGCTGGAGTTAAGTTTCCTGATAAATTCCCCTGCGTGAGTCGTTGCAAAGAACAAGGAACAAACTCCAGAGCACACAGCACAGTTTGGATAAAGTGCCTGACACATAAGACTCTTCTTTATTTTATTTTTTTTTCTCTTTTTTAACATTTGTAAATAGCTTAAACAAATATAGTCGCAAGACACAGAGGAGTAACAATTGCATTTCGCTGTAGAATAAAACTTATCCCGTGAGAGTAACAATGAAGCAGCAGCAGCAAAAAAAAAAAAAATTAAATTAATTTAATTAGAAGGAAAAAGTCATTTAAAAACTCAGAGATGTGGCCCTCGGACTGTGTGGGATGAGGACAAGCGTCACCTATTGCTACACAGAAAAATGAGAGATGTTTTCTGGAGGAGGCTGTGGGTTCTCCCTGGCCGGGCTGGATTCTGTCTGACTCCTTTGTTTCCTTTAGAAATCGAAGGGGAAAAAGAGAAAAAAACCAAACCAAACCAAAAACAAACAAACAAAAATCCACCAACTAAAAAGCCCCCACAAACAAAAAAAAACCTAAATTAAACCAAAAACAAACAAAAAAACCCCAACCCAAACCAAACCAAAAACCAGCCGAATAAAAAACCACCAACAGAAAAAGCCACAAACAAAACAAACCCCAACCCAAATCAAACCAAAAACAAATAAACAACAAAAAACACCAACAAAAAAAACCACAAAC